GTATAGGCTAACAACCAAGTGGTGAAAGATTTCCTCAATCCACGGTAGTAAAGGGGCAGCGGTAAAGAGGTCCTCGGGAGCGGGTGGTGCACCAGCGTGGAGCAGCAACAAAGCGCCGGCCAGTGAACATCGCAAGTGTGTCGATGTGCTCATTGGGGTGTAGGATTATGGGGACCTGTCGCGATACAGACCTTTTGACTTAGAAGGAAACACTTGCCTTATTGCCTTTCGTAACTCTTTGGCCAGAATCTCTAATTTATGTTCTGACTGCTGCCTTTTTTCTGCCCACATCTTCCAAGGGGAGACATGCTGAGCGCAGTTACGAAAGGAACGACAGATGATAGCCCTCTAGCAATGCCTGGCCTTAACTTGAGCTTAGGAAAGTTTAGCCCTAACCCCTAAATCCCACACCCTTAACCCTAAATCCTAGACCCTAAACACTTGAATGATGTAGGGTTTAGGGTTTAGGGGATGGAGTCCACTGCGTCTTCCGGTTCGGTGCCTGTACTTCATGACCCCAAGGAAAGGATCCCCCAAGCTGGCGAAACTGTAGGCTCTAATGGAAAAGAAAATGGAAACTACTGGGATTGTAGGGGTTCTATAAGGACTATAGGGTATATATTGGGGTTATAAAGGAATAATGGATAAGAACATGGAAACTACTGTGATTATAGGGGTTCTATAAGGATTATAGGTTATATATTGGGGTTATGTTGGGTTTAATGGAAAAGAAAATGGAAACTAGAATGGGGTTATTTAGGGTTTAGGGTTATATTGGGGTTATGTTGGTTTAATGGAAAAGAAAATGGAATCTACCATAATCGGGTTATATAGGTATAGTTTCTTTTTTTGAGTGTATAGGGTTTAGGGTTTAGGCTGGCTCGTAGGCTATGAGGAGAGATGCTCCTGCCTGAAGGAATGCTATCTTAAGGTTTTTAAGGTTAGGGGGGGACACATTCCAGCCAACTGTGCCTTCAACAAGTATACGTTCATCTATCTGTTGTGGGGTAGCCTCCTCCCCAACTCCCCCGATTATACCATGGTGCCAAACCGGGGGCATTTGTTATTACTGAACGGTGGTTAGTCGGGGATAACCGAATACAATCCTTATGTAACATATTCTCTTCTTTCCTGCTAACCCTAAACCCTAAAGAGTGTATTCCCCGCAGTAAGATTGGGGGCGGGCACTAAAAGGAACAAATACCCATCCCAAAATACGAACAGCAATAACAATAGTAGAAATAGCAAACCCAAAACCCTAAACCTTAGTAACAATAACACAATAATAATGATAATGCTTATAATCCTGCTTTTACCTTCGGTGTTTTACCAGCCTTGCATTCCCCTCCCCTGCGAGCTAATCCGGGGGATCCTTCGGAACTGGTTCAGGGTTCGGGGTTTTGGGTTCGGGGTTTTGGGTTCAGGATTCAGGGTTTGGGGTTCAGGATTTAGGGTTTGGGGTTTTGGGTTCAGGGTTTGGGGTTCAGGGTTTTGGCTTTGGGGGCGCCCGTTCTGGATTGAATTGGTTGCTTGTGAGAAGCTCCAGTGCCTCAAGACTTCTTGGGATTAACCGCAGCCGGTGATCGCCTCCCCAAGCCCAAGTACATTCCTATGCTGGACCAGTGGTAGACTTAAAGTCTCGACGGATCCTAAATCGAAAGCTCTCATGCTTGCAGCCGGGAATGTTTAAGCGGCACCCTCTTTCTAGAAATGGCTGCTGCTTAAGAAGGATCTTCTGTGTACATTAATTACTTGCATCAGCATGGCTAACAGTTTCATATAGCACATGGTCTCTAGGGGTGATGACAAAGGCTGTGACAAAGGCTCCTTTTTCACAGCAGGAAATTGGTAGTTTCCCAAAATAGGGGGACCCCAATATAGAATCCGAATTACTACAGTCCTTATTATGGAGACCCCCACGAAGGTACCCCTAATTTTGGGAAACTCCCATTTAGACCTTGAGCAGGCAGAGCTGCAATGCAGGCACTCGAGCACGGCGAATGTGGTATGCTGCTGCTCTCAAAACTACATTGCAGCTTCTTCAGAATGTAGAAATATGTTACCATTATTACTCAATACATGCTAGGAAATGTTTATTATTGGGAGGCGAGGGGTCTGTTATTAGGGTGAGGTGATTACTATCCTTCTCGCTGCTGCTGCCACTGCTACTACTACTACTCCTCCTCCTCCTTCTCTTCTCATTATTTCTACCTTTTTAGTATACTACTATTACAATTATCAAGATTATTACGAACTTATTATTATTATTACTATGTTAACGTTGCATTCTTGTTATTGTTACTAACTATCACTATTACGGTTTTGCTCGCTAAGCGCAAACTCGGGATGGCTGCTCTGGCGAGCCTTTGCTCGGGAATTCACAAATCAACTTAGCAATGTTAATATTCCTCAGCGGGAGCCCCTAAGATGCGTGCTTTCCTCACACATTATCAGGTTAGGGTTTAGGGTTTAACCCTTTCATTGAACTCATTGAACATAACTCCCCTTAGTCTTCAGGACTTGAAAACCTATGAGCAGTGTGTGCGTGTCATGCTGTTGATACTAAAAATCCTTCATGACCTTAGTATACTGTAAGACCATTTTTGCCAAACCATACAGTATTCAGGGTCATACGGGACACATCGTATCCTCTGTACCACGTCTCCACAACTCTTGATACCCTCAGCAAATGGGATCTGAACATGGTAAACCCTAATAATAGACTATAATATGCTATAATACCATCTAGAATACTACAGTATAATATATCAGACTATAGTATAGCATAATATACTGAAATATACTATAAACCCTAGCCGCTATTGGAATTATGGAGGAATCTCGATGCTGCCGAGCTTCATGCGTTGTCGGTCATGTTATCATAGGGCTTAACTTACCCTGAACCCTAAATCCCTGAAACGCGTAACTGTAAGGGCCTGAAGAATTAGAATGGTGTATTTATACTAAATCATTTCAGGGTTATAAGGGGATGATACTGCTAACCCTTCAGGCTTCTATATTAGGAGCCCTGGGGACGCTTCTTACAATCAATTCTTCGGACAGACCTACTAAACTTGGCGTTAGCCTTGCGGTTTAGGGTTTAGAGCTCCTAAAGCCTAAGCCTCAAGCCACTAAGCCTACACCCTAGTTTGTGTGGGAAAATGACCAACATTGGCAGAACTTTATTCGCGGGTACTACTACTACTACTACTACTACTGGTACTACGAGAAACGAACCCCCCCCCCCCAGAGCTTGTGCAGCCACTACGGCTATCGCTGAGACTGCAATCAGAATTGCTACAGAAAGACAGTAACCAAGATACGAGCATAGTCGTAACAGTATTAGTAAAAGTCATAATGTATTAGTAAAAGTCTTGATGCTTCTCATGAGAACAGTTCGAGACACGACACAAGCTAGCCAAGAAAAACAGCAAGCTAAGGGATTACAATACTACCCCCCCCCCTCCCCAAAGGTACACCCCCCCCCGCCCGACTTTGAATCCTATTAGGCCTTATTAAGCCCCTATATAATCCTTGTTAGCTCCTTAAACCCTGGGGGAAGTGACTTTGGGGGGGGGGGGGTAGTATTGTACTCCCTTACAAGCTGAGGAAGGATCCATTTGATGCCGTGACCATGGCTCTGCAAACGCCGAAGTCGATCACGACCACCTGCAAGACAGCCGAGCGATGTAAACAACAGCAGCAAAAGCAAGGAACTCCTATAGCACACTTTTTGAGAGGACACTCTTCTTTATAGGGCCCATCGTGGGGTTCCATGGAAGTTTGGGGAGGGTAGACGTCCGGTATCCATTTGACAAAACCTAATTCGTGCTACGCAGCTTATGGTGAGGGTCGATAGGTTTATCGCCTTCTCCAAGTAATGAAAAGCCGAATGAACAAGAAGATGGAATATGACGTGGGAACGGGGGTTGCATATGATAGCTTCCGTAAATGAGGGGACCTCAGTATACACCCCAATATACTACAATGCTTGTTGTAGGGACCCCCCACCCCAATAAGGTACCCCTAAAGTTTGGCAAATGCATATCCCCAGTTTCCATTCCGTTTTCAATTTTGTTTCTGTTTTGATCCGCCATTATTCCCAAAATTTGGGAAAAGACCATAATTATCAGCTATAGTCTAAATTCCTAGAATCCCCCTTTACAACCCCAATCCCCCATTTAACCCCCTTTTAAGGAGCTTAGACAATAGCTCATATGGAGGAGCTGTCGAAAATCGCCGAGCTCGGGGTCTTCGCATCTCGGGATTAAGGTTTAGGAAATTTTCCCCCAATATTTCATGGATGAAATAGGCTGATTTAGACCTTCTATAGAGAGACACTCCGAGCAAAAGCAACGCCAAAACGCTACACGCGCCGCACAAGATGCTCAATCTCCTACTCAAGCAGCACACTGCACACAGAGCACCTTCAGTATGTTTTGGACTCGGACAGCAGGCGGCGTCAACTTCGTCCTCTTCGCACAAGCGGCTTACGCACCAGGCGAAGGGCGAACGTCAC